GATGGGCATCTCTGAGGGTTGATGGTACCACGACTGCAGACCTTTGCTGGGCTGGGAATTAGCTCCTTTGCTCTAGCATTGCTCCTCCATGCCTGGCTGATGGTTGCCCTTTCTCCTCTGGAATAATTATGATGGCTGAAAATAAATGTGTGGGAAAACTCGTGCCAGTTTCCACAGTTTAACAGCACATGGACATTTGTGTGAAAGTGTGAGCCAGGATGTTTCTAATTCTCCTAATTCTCTTGACAAAAATGGTTTTATAAATAATCAGGCCTTAATTGTGTGATTCCAGTTAATGCAGAGGGAGTTAATTAACATCTGGAACAAGTTTCCTGGCCTGAGTTATTAGCTGTGTCTGGTGCAGAATTCAAACAATGTATTAAGTGAGGCCCTATCACCAACTGATTCTGAACAGACCTGAAATGAGAAATGCCCAAACATGGAGAAGGTGCAGCAGCTGTGCCAGGATCATGTCTGGTTTTGGTGAACAAGTGAAGACTGCTTAAGGCATGATTGTTGTGCCAGTCCAAGAGGTGTATTATGTGGCAAAGAATAGGCATCATCTCTCGATTTATCCTCAGGTAAAACCCTCCAGCTTTTCTACTTGAGCCCAAAAGCCCTATGGATCAGGATCCTGGAGGCTTTCACAGCTGGGGGAGGAAAAATCCCACTAACATAAAAGACAGACTTCATATTAGGAATAAATTCTTCCCTGTGAGGCTGGTGAGGCACTGGCAGAGGTTGCCCAGAGAAGCTGTGGCTGCCCCATCCCTGGAAGTGTCCAAGGCCAGGTTGGACAGGGCTTGGAGCCTTCTTTTCTTATTTTTCACTACCAAAACACACTCAGATTTTCCAGTAATGGATTTTCATATATGTCTTGTGAATCTCCATATCTAGCTAGGGCAGGGATAATATGTCTGAGCCAGTTTATATAGTTGCTCACTTATTTACTACCTCTAATGTGATGAATTGTTATTGAAGGTTTCTTATCCAGGTTCCTGTTTCAGTAGAAACCCATGCTGTGTTTTATGCATGAGTTTTACACTGCTGCAGCTACAAGGCATGCAGATGAGGAATGCCTCTCCAAATAACCCCCTAGCTAGGAAATATAAACAATTCTCACTGAACTCCAGCAGAAAACCACAAATTGTGGTGCAAATTTTATTTCCATGAAGTTCTGCATACGAACACAAAAGAGATGCAGAAGGCAAAGCAATTCAGCTAATGAATGTGGGTGAAGCAGAGAGAAATTTAGGGTAAAACGCAGGTACACAGTGTGGCAAGCCTCATCACTTTCCCAGAAATGGGGTCACCAAATTGAATGACATAAGGTCCCTTAACGTGGTATCCGGTGCCATCACAGCCAATTGCCCAAAAAAGTCTGGGGAACTCTCCTTCTTATCCTTCTTATATCAAAATCAGCAGGAGAATAAGCACCACCCCCTGCATTTCTCCATCCCTTTTCTTTGTTTGCCAGAGCTACAGATCTTGTACTAAAAAGAAAGCAGTTTACTGGTGGCGTGGACTGCTTCTGAGGGATTCAAAGCCTGCTGAAGGCTGCTTGTTTCCACTGATAAACCAGAAAAGAGTAGATTTAGATTGAATATAAGAAAGAAATTCTTTACTGTGAGGGTGGTAAGACACTGAACAGGTTGCCCAGAGAAATTTTGGATGCCCCACCCCTGGAAGTGTTCAAGGCCAGGCTGGATGGGGCTTGGAGAAACCTGGTCAAGTGAAAGGTGTCCCTGCTCATGGCAGGGGGGGTTGGAACTAAATGATCTTTAAAAATCCCCTCCAACCTCCAAAATTCTGTGATTTTATGATAAACTTAAAATGTTTGGGATAAAGTACTAAACTGCAATTAGCTCTGGCTTCTAAGTCTGAGAGAGAGCAGGAGAATTCATGTTGCTGGGAGAGGCCAGTCTACACCAATAAGAAGACTGAAATGCCAGCATTCAGTCCTAAACACTGAGGTAGGTGCCTACTGTTATTCTGTTATCCCATAATGAGCAGTGATTCAGCCCTGTTTGGATTTATGACTAATCTGAAATTCATGTACAACTTTCATAATCTTTGTCATAATTACACAAATTACAAATAACTCTTTAATATCAATGTTTTAAAAATTAGTCAAATCTTTCCCGGCACTTTTATTGCCTATTTACTATCTCAAATCAAATGGTTTACAACTTTGTGTTCTGAAAATATACAACACAAGAAAACACTAGCCTGGCAAAATTATGCTTTTATGATAATGACAGGGATGAGTTATAGTTACTCCAGTTAAACTGTAATGGCTGCACAGATGCTGGGAAAAAAATAGTGTACAACATGTTCTGCCACCATAAGCATGGCACCTGCTCACCCCACCATGGTACATACAAGAGCATGTTAGCATTCCTTTGTGAAAACTGTTTTTAAGGATTATAATTGGACCATAAACATTCACTTGGGGATAAAATATCAGCATGTAGGCCTTAAAAATTACCTTGAGAAATGTTCTGCCGGTTTTGCGTATCTGGATTTCGGAAGCGAATTTATGAGAGATCATATATAACTTGTTTGTGATCTTGCAGGACTCAGAAATGGTCTGCTTTCTTCTTAGGGTCTATAGGAATTTGCTGCAGAGCCAGAAACTAAATCCTCCAGCTCACTGCTGGCTCTCAGGAAGTAATAATACATATCTACAGATGATGTGTTGCACAAATGGCAATGGCAGGAGTTTCCTATTTGTCTGGCCAAGCTGCCCCTGCACCACCCACCCACGGTCCCACTCATTGCTGAAGTGCTGCTCAAGGACGCTGACACTGGTTGCTATGACCTTCCTCCTTTTGCTTAATTTAGTCTCACAAACCAACCACTGAGATGGAAATTTAATCTAAGTGTATTTTCCACTGAAATGGGTGAGCAATACAGGGGCCATGAGCTATTGCACAGAGAGTAGGTCCCACCAGCAGCTGTAATGCACACTGAAGATGTGTTGGACATGGGCAAGTGGATTACACTCACTACTGCAAGAAAACACAGGAGTAGAGGAAAATAACAAAACTAAATATATGAGACTGCAGTTGCTTGTTCTAATTCCCATTACAGAAAACTTACCTATTAAATACTGTCAGTAAATATGTGGGGATTTTGGTCAAAATGTATTGTCTGACTTCCTTAGTGAAGCCATTGTCATAAACAGAATATGAAGAACTGTAAAAAGGGTGCTAGGAGATTGGGTAAAATCAGAATCAATAACTCAGTTCTACTTTTGGAAATTGTTATAAATCAGAAGCAAGAGGGTTTTTTTAGTCTTTAGTTCGAGTTGCTGGAATTTCAGTGAGGTAAAACAGCTCCAAAGAGAAAACTGCTGCTAAAAATCAAAGTGGACATTTACTTTTGTCTCCAGGATCATGGTTTTTAGTGAGGGAGAATCTTCCCAAGTCTGTGACCCAGCTTCTTCTTTACTTTAAACCTTCTAGTCCAGCTGGACAAAGTATGAATGAAGATCAGACAATATATATTTCATTCTCCACCACTGAATCTGCTCTGTCTTACTTAATATTAAAGCCCTGCTAATGCCTTAGGCAGCAGTAGCTGACCCTTTGAATTAACACCTCCTCTGCAGTGGATTTTTCATGCATATGGCTATTGATGTATTTTAGAGTGGAGATAATTTTTGTTTTGAGTATCTGCTCTGGCTTCATGTTCCCAAGAAAACACCTCTTGTGTGGTTTTTTTTCTGCCATGTATTTTCCCCTATGCCCTGCTATAATGTCTTATTATATTCCACAGAAAAATTCCCCTTCTTATGTCCACCTTTGTCAGAACTCCAGGAGCAACGTAAGCATCACTTTAAAGCACTCTTTGTCACTCAGTTGAACTGTCCCCTAATTGTATCCTTTAACTCCAAAAGGGATTTGGGGACATACTTTATATGAAAGATGCTATAGAAAATAAAAGTTGCATTGCTACTGGATCAGCTTTTATATCTCCATCCAGGGAAACTCTCGCACACCAATTTGCTTTCTCTTTTCCAATAGCCATTTCCTCCTGGGGCTAGTTCCTGGGACAGAGCTGTCTTCAAATAATTCAATTATCATGTGGCACACACCTTATAAGTCCCTCCTGAAATGGTGCGTGATGCCTTTGGTTTACATCACTCGTTGGAAAACACTCCAAAGCATTGAAAAACTATTAAATTGTTACAGTACTGGATGCCAACACACAGGGCTATTAGTCTAATTCATCCTTCAGATCAAAGCCCACACAGGCAGCTCTCCTGCCTACAGCTATTTTCCTTTTACTTTCCTGCTTGACAGTAGTCCCTCATATCCCTCTGTTCTACTTTCTTTGAACATACAGATTTTCCTTTAGTCATGGAAATATAATTTATGTCTATTATACTGTATTATAGATTGCAGATCAGGACAAGCGTGCATTACTGCCTGGAACGTCTGTTTATTGTACGTCGGGTTTTCTAAAAATAAATAAATAAAAAACCACCCTGCTTTGCTGGGGAGAGAAAAATACGGAGGGGGAGGACTCGGAGGCTGAGGGGGAGCTGCACTCTGTTCTCGAAGTTTAATTTCCAAGTAGAGACCTTGAAGCATGATTTATTAACATCATGCTGTTTGCTTTTGTCACGTTGTGGATGTGGCGGGGGGCGGACGAGGGGGGTGGGAGCGCTGGCCCCTCTCCAACCTGGACCACCCAGCGAGCTGAGCGGAGCTACCGGCGCTGCGCTCCCCGGTTCAAAGGTTCACCCCCAATTCACCGGCTCCATCAGTCGCCGGTCGTCCGGCTGTGCCACCCGGCTGTGCCACCCCCTTAGAGGCGACAGCAAGAACAACAATAACACACTGCCCCCCCCCAAAAAAAAAAAAAAATCCTTAGAGACGTGTTGTCTGGGACGCGAGAATTGCAAAAACAATCCCCACCCCATCACAGAGTGTGTGTGTGTGTGCACAGAGGAGAGGGAGTGTGAGGAGGGGGGAGAGAGGGAACGAGACAGACAGAGGGGAGGGAAGAAGGGAGGAGGGAGTCCGAGCTCTGAGAAACATCACTCCATCTCTCTCACTCCACAGGAGCTGAGCAAGGAGCAGGACGATGTTTGACAACACGCAGTACCCCTATAACTGCTTTAATTATGATGGGGATGATTATCCTACCTGTAGTTCTGACGAAGAGAAAAAATTCACCAGACCGGCGTACAGGTAAGATGAAGTTTTTCCAAGTCCTCCTATCTCTGGGGAGGTTTCTGAGCTCTGGGATGGTGGGATCACAGCTCTCAGGGGATCGTGGGACCTCTCCTCAGGTGTGTGCAGTGGGTCTGGTCCTGGTGCAGGCACCACAGCGGGCAGATTTCCCCCCTCTCCACATGTGAGGTGTTCATGATTTGTTTCCTCCCATGAGGGCTCACAGCAACTCTGACATGCCCTTGAGCCTCCAGATCTCAAACTATCTCCAACCTCCAGGACCACTGGGAGAAGGGGAATTGAATACATCAGTTGCAGCAACCCCAACGTGATGGGAAGAGACGCAGTGTAGATGTTCCCAGGGACATCCAGGGTCCTTTCTACAAGCAGAAAAGGTCTTTACTGACAATGTCTCCGAGCCTGGTCTGTCTCCCTGCAACCTTCCTGCTCAGGGAAACTTTTCAGATGGAGTTTGAGAGGTGTGTGATCTTACTGCAATCTTCCTGTATCCGAGCCCCCTGCACTGACTGCCAGGGCAGACAGCCTGGTTGGGATTCAAGTACCTGGCATTAACACCTCTGTGTCACTTGGGGTCTCCTGGAGGACAGGCAGTGATCATGCTCAGGCTTTCTCTCTGGGACACCTCAGGTCAGGGTGCAGATGCACTGGGAGAACTTTTGGAAGGAAGATATAGGCACACATGTACCCATGTGGTCCTAAAAACTGAGTCTGTGAGTAGGGCAATGGTGTAACAGCAAGTTTTCCTTTTTTCAGCTACATTGCCTTAATTGCAATGGCCATCCAGCAAAGTCCTTCAAATAAAGTCACCCTCTCTGGCATTTATGACTTTATAATGAAGAAATTTCCTTACTACAGATCAAATCAAAGAGCCTGGCAGAACTCCATCCGACATAACTTATCACTTAACAGTTGTTTTGTAAAGGTAAGATCAGTAACTGTGTATTTACATACACTCTGTGCATGGCTAAAAAAAATACATGCAGCAATAATCTCACGCCTTAGAAAGGAGAGAAACAAACAGCTGAGCTGCAAATCACTTAAAATCTCTCTGAGTTGTCAGTTGCAGAGATAAGGAGTATATCCTTGTCTGATGTGTGCTAATAGATAACAAATTGAAGAGGATGGAGTTTACATCTTACTTGTATAATGACGGAGAATAGGCTTAAAATCTTGTCATGTGTGTTTACACCATTCTTGAATGTAAATGAATGCAGATGCTGAGCAGCAGCATCTGTAACACATACAAATACTGAACTGCCTTTAAATAAATACAGGTTCCCAGAACAGAAGGGAATGAGAAGGGGAAAGGAAACTATTGGAGCTTTGCAACAGGATGCGAATCCATGCTGGATCTCTTTGAAAATGGGAATTACAGGCGAAGACGGAGGAGGAGGAACATGAAAAGGGAACATAAGGAGCAGAGACCAAGCAGAGTGAAAAGTCCTTCATCCCCCAATATCTCTTCTGTGGACTCTGCTTTGAACAACATTTCCTCTTCTGAAAGTAAACATGAAAGAATTGAATCGGGCCCAAAACTTCTGGAGCCTTGTGGGTTTGCTCCAAACAGCATGACCACCAGGCAGAGCCTAAACAATTCCTCCTTAGCAAAATCGGATTCTGAAATTAAGTTTAGCATCGATTACATCCTCTCAGCCCCTGACCCTTTGCCTGTCCTGAGATCTCAATATAACGTGCAGGAAAATAAATATCATCTACTGGAGCCTCAGCACATTAATCTGCAGTTCTGGACAATGTGATGTTATTTATTCGTGGTAACAGAGTCTGAGTCGCAGTTTGTTCAGCAGCCTCATGTCACTGAAAATCAGCCGCCTGCCTCCTCGGTTTCCTCTCGAGCAGTACTCACAAAGGGTTACTGACTCACCAGCTGATGTTCTGTCTGTACCCAAAGAACTTTGCTAAGATTAAAACATAAATAACAGTTACCAATATTGGGTTTCACTGCATTGAAATTTATGAAATTCCAGCTTTATTTTCTAAACTGTCTTGGACATCATTTACCATGACAGAGAATTTCCTTTCTCGAGCAGAATCCGACAGAGAAGAGACTTGCTTATCACCCGTTGCTTTATTAAGGACAAAGTGAATTTGATCCAACTCTCAGTGGTGGAAATTAGGATTAACTCCACTGAAGTATATAGGTCAGAACTTAAGCTGATCTAAAATGGTGTAATTCTGTCGACTTACACAGGCTGGGAATGTGGGGGGTGGTGGGAATTTGTTTTCTTAAAAGGAATCACAGAAAATCACTCTGTCTTCCCTTATTTTTTCTTTTAACATCAAGTTCCAAACTGTTTTGCAGCTTTAATTCATAATTCATTAGAAAATGTAGTTATTAATAAGTGCTTAAAAATTTTTTTTTGTTTCTGTTCAAGGCGGAATTGTTTAAATTGTTGAAGTGAAGTTGAATTCAAAATAATTCCAAGAGAGCTAATTGCAAGTCTGCTGCTGGTAGACTTTGACAGGTAATGTAACAGAGGCATAGAGGCTCTCAATGCCTTGGTTAAAAAAAAAAAGCCCCACTATCCCCTTGTACTATCAGAAATCTTCCTGAGCTGCTGCAGAAAAGTCCTTGACCATATTTCATTTAGCAAGTGCAAAGGGAGACTCAGCTTTGCATGAAGCTGTATCCAGTGTTAAGCAAAGCTAAAATTCCATCTACCTGCTTTGAGACAAGTTGAATATTCCTATTAAATAGATTTTTATTGATCCTTCTTGCAAGCAATTACCAAAGTGGTGCTTGATATGATTTCAGCAAAGCTGGTGAGATTTATAATTTCCAGATATCAATGTTAGCTCATGAGCTCCATTTCTAAGAAAGCTGTTCCATTACCCTTTACATGCAGAGGGAGATATTGGAGCAGAACCTGATGGACAATGATGAACTGTAATGAACATTTAGGAACTTGCTTTTATACAACTTGTTCCCAATGAACTGCTTCCCAGAACCTAATGACAGCTTTAATAAAGGCTCCACAAAACATTGGCTTTGACTTGGCTACTATAGCCTTCACCTACTGCAGATAAAACAAAAAAAAAGACAAAGATTCTGATGGTTTTAAGCAATTAAATATGGAGAGAAAAAATTATCTTTGCAACATGAACTAAAGATAAATGAAGGTACATAAGATTCAGCAGAATTGTGCTAGAGGTATGCTCAGGCATGACTTGAATTTTTATGCAGAAGCTTTGACATTTCACTAAGTTATTTTACATTGTGTCTAATATATACTGTACATTTATACTATATATTCTTATATATTGTTATTGAGAAAGGGAGCAATATCACTGCACTTATATGTTGTAAAAATGCATGATGTATGTTGTCATGATGCTGAAACTCCTGCCATATACTTAAAATTTACCATCAGTGGTATTTCACGCTGATTGGTAATAAAAGTTCATTTTTTGGAAAACTGTAAAACTTGTTATCTTCAGGCATTTGCACAGCATGCAAAAAGTCTTTGCTTCTTCTTCAGAAAAGAGAAAATGGAAAATCATATTATCAGTCGCATCACTGCATGTCTTCCAAACTTTGAAGGGATGATTTCTTGAGAATAAATTCTGCCTTCAGATGGGAGCTTTCAATTCTCAGTGAATCAATGGTTATTCTGGGTGATTATCTGAAAGCAAAATTTGTCTCATTAGACCTGATTGATCTGCTGTTTACACTGATGTTAGAAAAAGAAGAAAATCTCTGGGGTGACGGGACAGATGGATTCTCATTTGAAGGGGGACGAGAACTTGCTCCATTAGTATTTATGCTCAGTAGTGAATAAGTGTGGGAAGAGCATGTTCCCATTTAGTGCTCCAGTGTGTGCATGTCCTCACGTGTGGGTCGGTATGTGGCCCCTCTAGGATCCTGCCTACAGCTGTATATTCATGCTCTATACCCAGATGATTTTCCTGATTGTTTTAAACCTGGCAATGCTGCTGTTAGGCTGATAGTTCTAGTACACATCCTGCACTATACTTGAAATACATATTTTCTGCTGTGAAATGTGCAGTTATGGTTGTTACTATGTGTTCTTGCTTGATGCTGTTAGCAAAAGGTACCTCAATGACACCAAAAGTTCCTCCTAAGCCTCACCTTCCCCAGTGCTCACAGAGGGCTGCTGAGACCAGTGGAAATCCAGTTATGGCTACTAAACAATGTAGGATTAATATACTAGGAAAGGCAGAAATACACCCAAGTGGATTTACAGCAGAGATCCAAAACCATTTTCAGTAAGATGAATTAATATTCACAAATAGCCATGTCCTTTGCTCACAGTAAAGTGCCTGCTAGGAGACACTGTCATACTTGAGTTTCCCTAACATATAATCAAACAAATTTGTGTACAAATAGGTGTTAACATTTGTTTTGCAAAGGATATCAATCATATTTCAAAAAATGAAGGGACATATTTCAATTTACCCAGTATATTATATTCTGACAACTCCAGAAAGGTTTCCAGCTCTTAAAGTGAATGGCATTTAATATAGAACAACATAACAGGGGTGAGGGCTAGATGTGACCTTATTCAAATGTCGTAGCCATTACAAAGCCATTCCCAATGTAATTATAATTAAATACTTTATGCCTTTCTTGCAAATCCTCTGATCGATCATTGATATTAACATTAATATTGTATTACCCCCGAGCAAATGTCTCCCACACAAGTGTTATGGATCACCAGGTTTCCATTAACAAAGTTGTGAGCTATTGCCGTGTGCTGGTCGTGGATAAATTTACGTAAATTACTTTTTCTCAGGGAAAAGGGGAAAAAAGTCTGGGTTTCTTTCTTTTATCCCTGCACTCTGAATCCAGAGCTATTTCTTCAGCTCCATCACAGCCTGTCAGCCACTTGCATAAAGCCATAATGAAAGAAAAAAAAAAAAAATCTCACAGGAACATCCCTCTTTGCCCTGTGTTAGAGCAGGTGAATGTTCTCCCAATGTAGCTGGTTTGGCACTTGAATTAAAAGCTGAGCAGAGCAGGGCAGGGCTCTGCACCTACCAAGAACATCAGCGGGCTGGGCAGGCTGGGCACGGCAGCCAGAGGGAGGAGAGGTTTTGGTGTTTGGCTCAATTCCTCATCTCAAGGGGTCTTCCTGCCTGCAAAGACAGACCTAGGATAAGCCATGGATTTTCTGAACCCAGAAGAGCTGCTTCACTTGGGGGCTGACATTGACTGTCCCAGGCCTGGGATGAGGGAGGAGGCAGAGAGAAAGAGCAGCTCCTCCCTGCTGGTCTGGGGGCACGGTGGGTCCTTTTGACCTCTCCCTTTAGGATCATAAATACCTTTGCAAAGGAAAGATGAAAGGTTTCTTTCTGGGGAGAGGCAAGGCTTGGCCTCACTGAGGGCCCCTGGTGGGGGGTTGTTTATTTATCCTTTTAAAGGAAGGCTTCCTGTGATAAAATAAATATTTTGATGGAGCCACACCAGGTTATTATGCAGCAATTTTACTCCTAATGATTTAATTTCTTAGGCTTTTGCCATTGGTGTCAGAGAAGTCGTTTTTGAAGAGCAAAATGATAATCAGCCTCAGAATTAAATTCAAAGTACTTGGACAAGGATACAGAACTTTTCCTTTCACACAACCAGTGAAGAGAGGCCAAATAACGCCTAAGGTAGGCCAGTAGTTGACCTCACTTACAGGGACCTGTCCCTCAGCAGAACCTCCTGCGCATTATGGGAGCATTAATGCAGATTAGGATAGCTGAAAACAAACCTTTTCTTTGTCAGTAGAGCCAAGTTCCCCTATTTTTCTGCCAGTCAGATAGATCTTATTAGTTGAGACCCACTAAATCCCCGTATAAAGAGAAGCTGTGCTCAAGGAGCGTTTGAAGGTCAAGCCACACTGGAGAGGTGTCTCTCCCCATGCCTTTACTTTGTTGTGCTCCATTTCATGGCCTGAGCTGCCACTTCCTCAGCCATGCAGCAGGTTGGTCCTGAGCTCTCTTGCTCCCTCAAAATCAAATCGAGATTTTTGCTCTCAGAAAGTACCACTCGCCTGTTCAGGTCCAAATCTTTTGTGTCCTTTCCACTCTCTATCGACAGAGAGGACACACTGAGAGGGGGGAAAGGGGTTTGGAGGGACAAGCCTTGGAGAAAACGAGCTCTGCTACCTATCTTCCAGTCATACAGAGCTGTTTGGGACTCTGCTAATATGCAGCACAAGGGCCCTTGGGGTTGTGTGTCAAGTCTCTGTACTGTAAATCCAGGGCAGCAATAGCCTGTGTCCCACCACATTCAGGCTCAGGGAAAGGAAGGAACCTCATCCACATGCCCCTGAGCAGACAGGGCTTTAACCTTCAGCTTTGGCAGTGTAACACAAATCCCTGTCTGTGACCAGATCCCGAAGTCAAGACATGGAAATCCTGCACTGTTCATTCCAGCTGGCCTCTCCCCTCTTTGTCTCCTCTGGGGTATGTTCTCCTCCCTGCTGTGTGGGTGTAAATCCTTGCAAATCCATTTACTTTGGTATAGTTACCTTTGGGATTGAAATAGCATGTGTGAAATGGACCTTTGCATATTATACCCAACACCTCTACTCACACAGTCTGCCAACCTGCACCAGCACCTCATCTCCCAGATGGAACTCTCAGAGCAACAAATGGTTCTGCCTCTTTATTTTGCCTCAGCATCCAGCTTCTAATTGCCTTCTCCAGAACATGGGTACCATGTGCACTGCACAAAGAACCTAGTACATACCCTCTGTGTCTGTTTTAATGGAAATGTTTTGTCTTTTTGCACTTAGGGTCATTAAATTAAAGAACAGGGTAGGTCCAAGTCCTATGGAACTTGCACTGGAATTTTTTTACCCGGAGAGCTAACATAAAATAACAAAGTGAGTTGTGCTCCCTCCCACCCTAGCTACAGCGGTTGGAGGCAAATCCAACTGTGAGAATTTTGCCTGAGAAAGAACTGCCGGATTTCTCCCACTGTGAAATCCAGCTGTTAATTCAAACAGAAGGGATGGACCTGACCAGATAGGCCAACTGGCTTGTTTCCATCCTAAAGTCCATTGTGTTCCACAAGTTCCTAAATTTATGGTCATGAAGGTCTTCCAAGCCCTTTAATGAAGTATGGCATGCAGTGTTTTTGTTATGGAATGTGTGCAGCAAAGGAAAAAGAAGGTTTGAATTTATCTTTCAAATGAAGATTCTGGAATCTCTCACGATAAACAAGCTAAATTAGGAATCAAAATACACCATGTTTCTCACCATAACTATGAAACTGAAAATAGCACTTGCAGAGCACTGACAGAGAAGAAAACTAGAAGTTGCAGTGAGTCCACCCAAGTTTCTTTTTGTCGTGAGTGTCTGTCTGTGTGTTCCATTGTCACTTTGTAGCAGGGGTTGCAGTGAACCCTGCTAGGACATCGACAGGGAGCACCGTTTCATCTTTTGGGGGTGGTTGTTCTGCCAGAGTATTTCAGAAAAAATTTTGCACTGCAAAGCTGAGCCGCTGATCCCCATCATCAGCATTTACACTGGGCACACACCGTCTTGTGTTGCTTTGA